CCTTCTGCGAGAGCGTCGAGGCCGGCCACAGCGCCCACGGCGACCAGGCCCAGATCGCCCAACGGCTCGGCATCACCCGCCCCAGGGTCCGCATGGACAGCCAGAGCAAGTACGGCAGCATCGCCCGCGGCGCCGGCGACATTTACCTGCGCCTGCCCGTCAGCGCCTCCTACCAGGAGAAGATCTGGGATCACGCCGCCGGCGACCTCATTGTGCGCGAGGCTGGCGGCCACGTCACCGACATTGCCGGCCAGAGGCTCGACTTCTCCGTCGGCCGGACCCTCGCCAAGAACAAAGGCGTCGTGGCTGCCCCTGCCGCCGTGCACGCCGAGGTGCTCAAGGTTGTGCAGGAAGTGCTGAACCAGAAGACGGCGGCGTAGATGTCACGAGGAACAGTTCCATATAGAAGAACAATGAAATAGAAACAAAGAACAAAAACGATGTCGAGCATTGTAAGATGCGAACCAAAAAAAAAACAAGCGTGGTGTGACAATAGTATACACATCTGCATATGGTGGGACAAGAATACACAGAGATACACGGCCCAAGCCAGCTGCGGGCCAGACCACACTTGCACCACACAGCTCTCCCTCCCTCCCCTGTCCTTCTCCTTCTTCTCCTCCGTTCTCCGCTGCTGCCGCTGCTGCTGCATTCCTGTGTCTTGGCGACTCGTCTATTTGATCTTCTTCTGCTTGAGCTTGATCGTCTGGTCGTTGACGAATACGCCCTTGCCCTTGTAGGGCTCCGGCGGGCGGTACTTGCGCACGCGGCCCGCGAAGCTCATAATCTCCTCGCGGTCGATGCCCTCGATCAAGATGCGCGTCGGCGTCGGCGTCGTGACCGTGACACCCTTGGGGATCGGCTCCTCGATGGGGTGCGTGAACGCCGAGCTTGAGGCAGAGGAACAGCTGGCCGGGGAACGTCGCCTTGCCGCCGCGCTGCTCGACCGACGCACGGTAGCCCACGCCCACGAGACGGAGGACCGCCGTATGGCCCTCCGAGACGCCAATGATGTAGCGGTTGAGGTACGCCCAAGTTGTGCCTATGTTTCCATAACAGAAGAGCCGAGTCAGTCTTTCCGTCTTCTCGCCGGGCGAAGAAAAAAAGGGGGGGTGGCGGTTGTTTGAGAACGGGAAGAGGATACGCACCCCACATCTCCTTCTGCTCCTTCACCGTGTCGTCCTCGATTGTGAGGGTGGCCTTTCTCGCCTCCGTGTCGTGATCAATCTTGAGGAAGGGGGGGATCTCGAGATCAAGCTTTCCTGTTGCCAGACAAGCTTCGTCAGCTAAATGGTCCCATCGTGCCATACACCACCTCCTGGGAGCTCAAACCCACCCAAAGGTCCTGACACGGATACCGTCCGCTTGGGAATCTTCAAGTATGATGTCGCATCTCGCTTCACTCTGGGCTCGCCAATGACGATTTCGACGCCGGGAGGGATCGAGAGAGGCGTCCGGCCGAGCTTCGACGACCGATTCGTCGATGCAGAGAATTGTCGTCGCGACGTCGTCTGGAAGGCGGGAACGAGGAAAGTGGGTAATGAAACGGATGGCGAGGACCCTAAGGCCTGCCTCAAGGCTAACCCTCGGCCTGGAGCGAACATGATGGGCAATTGGGCTGGATAATCAACACGTCGACTGTTCGCGTTTGCGTTCGAGGCATCGAGAGACGAGTTCAGAAGCTTTTCGCCGGCTTAGTCATGGGTACATGCACAGACCACAGTTTGGCTCCTTGTTGAGACCCAGTCTTTCACGGCCCCCGGAACCTCCAGAAGACAGGGCCGAGAGACATATTACAACTCTGATGGCTGTTGCGCTGGCACGTTTCTGGTATCACTCATCGCATGGTTGATCATAGTAACGTGTGTGCAGATGTGACATTGCATGAATAAAATTGTGATGTAGTGTCGTACTTTTTATTAAGACGCCACTCACACTACTAAGAGGTATATGTAGAAGGCCCCCGTATCGGTTTCTTGGCCACAGGCCCGAATTGAAAGTCCACATTTTGGACCGATCGCTTGTCACCGCGCTTGATCATCAATCGCCATAGCAGAAGGACTGCATAGCAATGCATCGAGAGAAGCCATCTAAGGCTCCTCGTCGAGAGGAGCCTCCTCCTCGTACTCCTCCTCCTCCTCATCGACACCGGCATCCTGGTACTGCTGGTACTCCGAAACAAGATCGTTCATGTTGGACTCAGCCTCAGTGAACTCCATCTCGTCCATACCCTCACCAGTGTACCAGTGAAGGAAAGCCTTGCGCCGGAACATGGCAGTGAACTGCTCGCCGATACGCTTGAAGAGCTCCTGAATGGCGGTGGAGTTACCGACGAAGGTGGAGGACATCTTGAGGCCACGGGGAGGGATGGAGCAAAGGGCGGTCTGGACGTTGTTGGGGATCCACTCAACGAAGTACGAAGAGTTCTTGCTCTGGACGTTGCGCATCTGGTCCTCGACCTCCTTCATGGCGACCTTGCCACGGCTGGTGGAAAGAGATTTGTTAGAAAAGAGCAAATTAGGCCGAGCTGAGGGGGGTGGTAGAGCTTACAAAATGGCGGAGCAGGTCAGGTAGCGACCGTTACGGAAGTCAGAGGCGGCCATCATGTTCTTGGGGTCGAACATCTGCTGAGTGAGCTCAGGAACGCTGACGGCACGGAAAGAGTGCGAGCCGCGGCTGGTCAGAGGGGCGAAGCCGACCATGAAGAAGTGGAGACGGGGGAAGGGAACCATGTTGACGGCGAGCTTGCGGAGATCGGAGTTGAGCTGGCCGGGGAAACGAAGCGAGGTCGAGACGCCGGACATGACGGCGGAGACGAGGTGGTTCAGGTCGCCGTACGAGGGGTTGGACAGCTTGAGGGTGCGGATGCAAATGTCGTAGAGAGCCTCGTTGTCAATGCAGAAGGTCTCGTCGGAGTTCTCAACGAGCTGGTGAACGGAGAGGGTGGCGTTGTAGGGCTCGACAACGGTGTCGGAAACCTTGGGCGAGGGAACGACCGAGAAGGTAGCCATCATGCGGTCAGGGAACCCCTCACGGATCTTGGAGATCAACAGAGTACCCATACCGGCACCAGTACCACCCCCAAGGGAGTGGGTGATCTGGAAACCCTGGAGGCAATCGCAGCCCTCACCTCACGGCGGACGACATCGAGAACCTGATCGACAAGCTCGGCACCCTCAGTGTAGTGACCCTTGGCCCAGTTGTTGCCGGCGCCGGACTGGCCGAAGACGAAGTTGTCGGGGCGGAAGAGCTGGCCGAAGGGACCAGCACGGACGGCGTCCATGGTACCGGGCTCGAGATCGACGAGGACGGCACGGGGAACGTACTTGTTGCCAGAGGCCTGCCACAAAAAAAAAGCCATGAGCAAATGCTGCTGAGAGATATCCATCGGACCGTTTTATTGACATACCTCGTTGAAGTAGACGTTCATGCGCTCGAGCTGGAGCTCGGAAGTGCCGTTGTAGCTGTCATCACATCAGTACCCGGTCTACAGAAAAGAAACGACCCGTTAGGGTTTTGTGACTGGAGGGGAAAGCATACACGCCATTGCTGTCGAGGCCGTGCTCGCCAGAGATGTTCTGCCAGAAAGCAGCACCGATCTGGTTACCCTGTTCATCGAAACATTAGCCCCGCAAATCGAAAATAGGCAGTAGTACTGGAAATAACTTACGCACTGGCCGGTCTGGAGGTGAACCTAAGAGTGAGGAAAACCAAGGTCAGCTCATGGACTTCAGGAGGTGTGTAGTATGGTCAGGTTTGACGTCGTCTTCGCGTGTCGTCGTCTTCGCGTGTCGTCGTCTCTCGCGGGCGTGGTCGGGACAACGTGGTTCGGGACTCAGCGGGGTAGAGTTCAGGGGCGGCCGAATGGGTGGGAAAGATACGCGTCGAGTGTTGGGCTGGAATGGGAATGACTTACAATCTCACGCATCTTGATTTTGGGAAGGCTGAGGAAGCTGAACGACGATAGGCAAGGCTGGGAAGAGCTTGGAAGCAGAGAAGAGCTTCAGGAAGACGCGGGTGGGTGGGACGTTGAGGGAGGTTAGGGGGAGGGAAGTGGTGTTGATTTTCGGGGTCGGAAGGTGAAAGTGATTTTGTTCACCGCCATGGACTGGGCACGTAGAGGAAGGGGCAAACAGGGGGGTGCGCTGCAGTGCTGCGTTGGTCTCGCTTGTTTACCTGGGAGGGACTGTGCGCGCGACTGCCCAAAGTGGCATGGTCAGGCCCAACAGCAGCTAATGCCAGTTCCGGGAGAGGCGTGATTGGCGCCCACCCCATGATGGCCCCCGCATTGAGAGCTTCAAGCGCCGAGGAGGGGTCTCCATCAACTTCATTTGCTGCCCGAGAACATTGGCCTGAGGATTATGGCGATCAAGACGTCCAATATCTGACAGCATCGCAGCCGAAAGCAACAGTGGCAACCGATTGGGATGTGAGTAGCATGTTAAGCCGGCGGTGAGGAAAATAAACACCAAGATTGCAAACACTTCTGTGGTCTTATCGGACTCGAGTGAGAAGAGCGAACGTACAGTGTATCAACGAGGGTCGAGCATCTCATTCATGTCTTAGTCAGGCCTCATTTCCATTCGCCTGATGATCTACCTGCAACTATCCTTAATGGGCCTTGACGACACCAGCAGCGTCCGCCTGCGCAGCGATACGCTTCTTGTACGCCTGAACGTCTCCCGGGAACTTCTCCACGGTGCCGGCGTCGCAGACCCATAGCGACGTGCACACATTCTGCAGCATCGTCACGTCGTGAGACACCATGAGGACACCGCCCTGGAACTGGTTCAGCGCCTCGGAAAGAGCATCCATAGCCTCGATATCCAAGTGGTTAGAAGGCTCGTCAAGAACCAGGATCTGAGGGTTGGTCAAAGCGAGGCATGCGAAAGCGACACGCGACTTTTGACCACCAGACAGGAGACCCATCTTCTGAAGACCCGTAGTACCCTTGATACCAAACGCGCCGAGCTGCCGCCGGTATTCCTCGTCCGTCTTGCCAGGGTAGTTAGCGGCCATGAAGCTCACAGCGCTTGTGGTAAGATCCAGTGCGTCGACGTGATGCTGAGCGAAAAAGCCGACCCGAAGACGAGGGTGCTGCGTGATGATACCTGTTGTTGGTGACAAGCGGCCGATGAGCAGCTTGAGAACTGTCGTCTTACCAGCGCCGTTGGGACCAACAATGCCGATACGCGAGTCTAGCTGAACGTCGAGGTCTACGTTGCGAAGCAAGATCTTGTCGGGTGAGTAGCCAAATGTCACACCAGACATTTGGATAATGGGCGGCGACAACTTCTCGACATCTGGGAAGATGAATTTGACGCTGTACTCTGCTTCGGGCGGTTCCAGTACGGGCATCTTCTCGAGCTTTTTGATACGGGACTGCGCTTCAGACGACTTGGCGGCATTGTAACGGAATTTGTCGATGAAGGCCTGCAAGTGAGCGCGCTGGGCCATTTGGTTCTCGTATTCCCGCTTCGCTGTCTTCTTTCGCTCCTCTCTTGTGGCATAGAATGTGTCGAAGTTGGCACCGCGGTAGTAGTCCAGGCGTTGTGAGTGTTGGTGGATGACGTCGGTCGCAATTTCGTTGAGGAAGGCCCTGTCGTGACTGACAACAAGCACAGTACTCGGGTATCCTTGGAGGTAGTTGGCAAGGAAGGTGATGGACGGAACATCCAACATGTTGGACGGTTCGTCGAGAAGGAGGAGATCAGGCTCGCAGAACAGCGCACGCGCCAGAGCCAGACGCATCCTCCAACCACCCGAGAACGTCTTGGTCGCATACTGCTGGCGTTCAGCGGAGAAACCAAGACCAGCCAGAATGCTCGCAGCACGCGGCTCGGCCTTGTCTGATTCCATCTCCGCGAGCTTGGCCTGGATGTCACCGAGCCTCTGGTCCTGAACTTCGCGATCCCTATCAAGCTTGGCGGCATCAGCAGACGTGTCTGCCATGGAGCCTCGCTGAGATTCAATCTCTGCAAGCCTTTCAGTGATTTCCTGTATCGAGTTAGTTCTACTCAGCTGTAGTCTCTGGGCATGTTGGCTTACCGACTGCTCCTTGAGCAAGACTTTACGCCACACGTCAGCGTCGAGCACGGCCTGCAGCGCAGGTGTGTCATCTCCCGTGATCTAAGCACACGTTAGCAGAGTCAAAAAGTCTCTAATGACTTTCAGCTTACCTCCTGCTCAACGTGAAGAATCGAGATATGAGGGGGAATGGGAAGCTCTCGCCGCGCCAAAGCGCGTAGCAATGTCGATTTACCAACACCGTTGTTACCAACCAAACCATAACGGTGTCCATACGCCAGGGTGAAGTTGGTATCGGTAAGAATACGGAGGCCACCAATAGAGACGTCGATGTTGTCCAGCTTGATGTCCTTGGTCTTGCCTGCGCCTGCCGAAGCTCCGAGCTGCAAGGGGTTGACAGCCATGTAGAACTCTTCGTAAGACTGGGTGGACTCCGGCTGCTCAAGAAGCTTCGAAGCTTCGTACTCGACAGTCTTGAATGTCTTCTTCTGCTGCTTGGCAGCGATTTTGCGCTCTGCTTTTCCAACTTCTTCCTGTCGACCTTAGACTCAACCTTACGTACGTTGGCGGATTCCAGATCAACAGCTCCTGTCGACACAGCCAGTGTCGACGACATGTTCCTAGCGGACCCGACATGAACAGTCTGGTCGAGGCGCTTCACAGCAGAGGGCCCTTTTCGTTCAGAGCCATTGGCAGAGCTGTAGGTGTTTACCCACTTCTCCACCAACTGCTCAATCTTCTGCTGGAGCTTAGCATCTGGGTTCCCGGAGGCGGAGATGAGCAGCTGGGTGATCGCCAACGCAGCCTCGGAGAGTGGAGAGTCGGTGGCGTCCTCGTCGGCGTAAGCGGTTGAGGCATGAGACAGATAACCCACAGAGTACTCGGAAAGTACAGGGTCGATATTGGGGAGGACGTTTCTGATTTCGGCCTCCATTCTTATGACGATGGTTTGGTCTCCCAAAGCTTATTGGATTGAACAACTTCTTGCGTTCTGCAGACGGGTTGCGAAAGGAAGACTGTGAAAGTCTTGCCTGTCAAATCCCAATATCTTGTTTGATGGAGGCTCAAACGCAATACTCAGCAACCATTTTCCTTTCCACAATGAATCGAAAGGGTGAGGTTGACTGTGAGATAAGCGATAGCGGCTGAATATCGGGTGAGATGGGGCACGAGCGCGGGGTTGAGAGATCATCACGTGTCATTAACAACGGAATCATTTCAGTGATAGATGCCCTGGAACATACCTACAATTGAAGAGAGAATACATGGGCACAAACATTCTCAATCAGAGTAGACATCACTCACGCCTACCTCACCATGATTCCAAGAAAAATTGTGCGAACACATGCGAGAGCGGCATGCTCTGAGGGTTCAATCGTAGCAGCCTGCATGGACCCTGAGGCTGGTACTCAAGGGCAAGTCATCCTAGCATCATCATGCAAAAGTTCGGGCGAACAATCTTGTTTCATGATTTTGACTGTATTGTGCGACAACGAGATGTGCCTGGCGCTACAGCTCAGCACTCCTGAAGCTTGTCATCCGGTGACCGGCGGGTGCTCCAGTTCAAGCAAGTAAGTCAGATCCGTAGGAAGCACGCATCCCTCGACAACCAACCAATGCAGGCGGAAGACTGCAAGATGATGGTCCCGAAGATTACAAAGGATTGGCTCAGGGTCCCAGACAAGTTATACGGCCGCCGGCCGGGCGTCAGCAGCAAAGGGGTGTTCCGATGCAGATAAAGCTCGTCAACAACAGCCCGTTCCAATGAGGGGATGGCGATCAGCTTTACCTGAAGCGGTACCCCACTCGAGCTGAGGATTGTCAGCCAATCCTACTGTCAACCAGTGTCAATAAAAGTTATTGCGAAATGGCGGGACGCCAACAGTGAGCTGAGCCGCAAGGCGGGCAACCCAGGCCGCCACGGCGGGCGGATGGGCCCCTCTATCTCCATCTGACGTGATTGAATACTCCATTGCCCTGTGCCGTCCACCCCCTATGCTCCGGACACAATTACGTGACAAAGACCAGGTGCTTATTAGCCCGTACATCGTCCACTGTTTGGATCGGCCAAGATTAGCGAACGCGTCAGGTTCGCGTGCCGATAGCCTGCTTTCGACACATGACCGCGTCCCGGCACGCTAGAAACACGCGATTTACAGGGGTCTGATGTCGTGCGCCGGCCAATCGCTTGCAGGCGACATGTCAACTTAACGACCTTGAGATGAGTAAAACTTCGGGTAAGCAGCGAAAGGCCCATTGTCAAGGTCTCCTTGCATGCTGGCCCGTCAGCGTCAATTCGCCATCCGCACCGACCACGAAAAAAATTCTGCGTTGACGCTGCAGCTAAGATGAAAGTCCCAGCCGCGGGCTTGCGCTTGAAATGGGTTTGTTGACTTATTGTCAAGAGTCTTCTACGTTTACGCCTGATGTTCTCCCCTGCTTGCTACGCTGGCAATTGTTGAGCCACAAACACAATGTGAAACAAACCGTGGAGAGTCGGTGTGTGTGTGTTGACGGGCTGGCACGGCAACGAACTCTCCATTCTAACCCCAGAGAATGATGCAAAGCCGTGGATGCATTTGGGGATGCATTTGGCAGCATCCGGGGGTTTCTTCTCCATGCACAAACGCGTATGCAGCAGCAGGCGGGGGCCCATCGTTATGACAAACACGAAAAGTTGGACGCAACACATGTAAGAGACGTCCTGCAGGAGCTCCTCGTCCCTCACTAGATTGACTGCTGCAGCTGCCGATGTCCCGTAAGCTCCAAGGCAAGCTCGTAGCAGCATCGGCAATGCCGAGCTTGGCTCCTCTCACGCCTGGCTTGCTAGTCGAGAGCTACCGGAGAGAGTGCGAGAGCTACAGAGCGACCGATGGGAATTGAGGTGATTTCTCCCCACCCTCCACTCCAGCTTGACACCGGCGTCCGAGGATCATGGTGCGGCGTTGCGCGAAGCCAGGTTTGGGGGCCTAGGTTAGCAGCTCCAACGTCACCAACACGTCGTAGCGCATGGCTAGAGGCGACGCTAGACGAAGCAGATCCCTCACAGTGGGAAGCCTAGCCTTCGACCCCTCTGTTCATCGCCCGACGATGAAACCGGGAAAATAACCAGGCAGGTAGATAGGCATTGGGATCACGAGGGATCAAAGGCAGTCCAGAGAGAAACCCGAATTTAGCCCTCTGCGACCTAGGCGCGACACAACAGGCGGAGCGGCAAGCAGCAGCTAGACGGTGCATGCCAATCCCTTGTCAAGCACAGCATGCCGCAGGGCTCATCAATATGTACATGGGGGAGACGAGCGTCCTCCTGCGGTATCACCATAATGTTCGCCTATGCGAAGCCACGCCCAGAGTCAAGCTGAAGCCAGGCATGGTCCAACAATGCGCGCTACTGGGTAGGCAAAAGATACTGTCTGCTTGCCCAGGACTGGTTATTTGATCTGGCCTTTGTCATTTAAAGTTCTCCAGATCTTGCCCTAGCCAACACCGAGGGACAATCCGAGGGGCGCCAGCAAGGTGAAGTGGCGGAAACATGACAGGACAGTAGTAGTCGGGACCTTTCGTCGGCGCGCGGCTACACACTTGCAGTCAACCACCAGTCATGCAACAGCTGAATTCTTGTTGACTGCTTGTAGCCACTGGTAGATTGACCACGCCAGCTCAAAGTCGAGGAGGGGTCGATGGAACCAGACAGACCATTGTCGCATGTCGCCGGGCCGGATGGAACAGCAATATAACAAGGCGACATGTAAGGACTCGGTCAAGGTCGCAGTCTGGGTATATCGTTGTTGATATTCGTTTCGACGCAAGGAAGCCAATACCAACGTGCCTTTCAAGTCTGCGCCATGCACACGGTACGCGGGCGTGCCTGCCTGTAGCGCACTGGTGGACCGGGAAATGCAAGGAATGGCCCTCTGATCCCGCAGCAGTGTGCCTGTCGGACAAAGTCAGGTTTAAGCCCCATGTTCCGCGCGTCTGAGAAACAAGAGGTTCCCTGCCTCTTCTCGACATGGCTGACGAAGAGGACTTGGGGGAGCCATTTCTCGACCGACTAGCCGAATTATGCTTGGTGAGGGTGACACGAACGAGACAAACTCGCCAGCGCAGCGAAGCTGTGCCGTAGTCTCAGAATGTGAGTAGCCATCCGACCATGTTGCCATGCTGTGCAAGCACCCCAGCACGTCCATCCTGGGGAAGGCACTGTTGCAGGCTTCTTCTAGCTGGGGGCCTTCGCCATGATAAGCTGAAAGGGGAAAATGTCGGCCATTTCATCCTTGGGTACAAGGCATCCAGTCATCTCGCCTTGGCCCGCCTTCAGAGCATGGCCCCTCCACCCCCCCCCCCCCCCTCCCATTCTTCACAGGCCACCCCCTGCTGGCGGGCTGGACTTGGACCGAAGGACTACCTCCCCAGGCCCAGGGTCGGGGCCTTGCTTGCCTGTCGTGTCCAGTGGACGAAAAGCCGGTCCAGTGAGATGATAGGTCTCAGCCAACGGCGCTAGGATTCTTAGATCGATGCCCATCTCGGCTTGTTTTGGGAGGAGGAGAAACAAAAGCAACAAGAGGGCGCGCAGACCACCGAGACCAGGGCCGACATGGTCGTAGTGTGGGCCCTGGTCCGACCTGAAGCGTTGGCGTCGATGTCGGAAGAGCAATGTCAACAACGTTAAACCATCGAGACGTGGTCGGGTGTCCGGATCGAGGCATGTAGAAGGGGCTTGGGGAGGTGCAGATGACGGGAGCGGTGGAGGTGGAGGTGGAGGAGGGAAACCATCGATAGATGGCAGCATGCTGCTTTGCACTGATGCTGACAGTTCTCTGTCGAAGTGAGCGAGTGGTCCCCCCCCCTTTCCCCGGAGGTGCGTGCTGTCTGCTTGCTGCTTGCCGACTTGCTGCTGTTTACATTGGCCTATCTGGGTAGGAGCCGTCAGGCAGGCTGGCGCTGGGTGACAGTCAAAGCACGGCATGCTGCACTAGGTTATGTACAAGGCAAGGCACATCATGCTGTACAGGTCAGTACAAGTAAATCGTACATGGGGGTGCATCTCATATGCAGCTGCTTGTAATACATACGTGGAAAACTGGCTTGGCTGGCAGTAGAGAGATGCAAATGCATTTCCCAGCAGGCATAATAATTAATTACCCCCCGATTTGTGGACGGAAAGGAAATTACAGGGAAAAGCTTAGCGCCCCCCACCTGCCTTGGCTTGCGGCTTGCGTGCGGCCTGCCGCCAGGCAGAGCAATGGAAAGCGGGCAGATGGACCAGGTCCAGAGACACCACATGTCGCCCAGCGTGCCCTGTGCACACCCGTCTTGGAGCGGCGCCTGGCCCCCCTCCCCATCTGCTCCCCGCTCCAGCGAGTCAACCTGCTCGCCCGCGCTCGCCTAAGCGCGATCCCTACAGCGCTCATCTCCAGCGCTCCAGCGCCTGCCGTCATTCGTATCCACTGTCCAATTACATGCTGCTCGCACCTTGCTCTGGTGTAGGTACCTTGGGTAACCAAGTGAGGTACTTGCACTACCCGGCCGGTACCTACATTCTCCTGCTGCCCTGAGCATGACGGCCCTGGCTGGCTGTTCCCTCCCTGGCACCAAGCACGAACAGGCTTGCAGGCTTGTAAAGCGCACCAGCCAACAGAGCAGACAACGGGAACAGTGACGGAACGCCCCCCCCCCAAGTCTGGCCCATTGCATCCGTAAGGTAAGTAGGCATCTTTGTCTCCCGTTCCCCGTCTCACCTCGGCCAGCTCGTCTCGTCTCCCTCCCCTACCGACTGCTGGGTATCTTGCCTTCCCATACCTGACCACAAACACACGCTTGCACCCATGCAGCACTGACTGGGTCGGACGACTGAATCTCCCCAGTTTCCACTAACCTCCACCCTGCGAACGACCTTCTTCTCACGCTTTTCTCTTTCTTGGGCTCTCGAGCAGTCCAGTCAACTCTCTCTGCAAAACCATCCCTCTCCCACCCTCTCTCCCTTTTCCTCTCTCCTCCTACCCAAACGGAGGGTGGTGGTGTTTTTGGCCTGTCCTCTCGTTCATTGATTGGGCCCTGTAGGCATTGGCTTGCCTCTCTGTCGGTGTCACTGTAGGGTTGTTTTGTTTTCCCTACCCTACCGATTTCTCTCGACACCTTCAACCCCCCAACCCCCCCCCCAGTGTTGAAACCAGCCAAAGGACAAAGGAGACGGTCTTTCCTTGCAGCTCGAATCCATTGAGACCAACCAGCCTGTCTCTCGCATACCTGGTACGACCGAACACGACGACGAACGACACGGGATACGCTTTCTCTTCTGCAACTTCATGCCTTGATCATGCTTCGTTCGTCTCTCGACAACAAAGACACACGCTTCGTCCGCATGCTTTCTCCCACTGGCTCCGTTGCCTGAGTCGTTCCGCTCAGCAAATATGCAGACGGTTCCAAGTGTACGTCGAGATGTTCCCCTGCACCATCGCTCTGGTTCGATTGATCATGCCAGCTAACCCATCACTCAACAACAGCTCGTTGGATCCGGTGCTGCGCTTGCTGCAGCTGCCTTGGGTCTGGCATTTGCTGAGCCAGAGCCCCAACCAAGTCCTCCTCCGACCTCGACCTTGAACAGAAAACGGGCGTACACCAACTACGATGGCCCTTCCTACAACCCTCGCCTGAGCAGCGCACCTGCTTCCTCTCGCCCAGGGACCAGCTCTGCAAGCCTGAACCCTCCCGCCGAGGTGTTTCATCCCAGCTCCCTCCCCGATGCATCCTTCTCACCCACAACTGCAAACACCCCCCGCCCTCATCGTCCCACGAGTAGCACCCAACTTACGCCGCCCAAAGTCAGCAGCCGAAGGCAATCGTTTGTTCGCCAGGCCGACGGCATCGTGGCCCCCACGGCTGAGGACTCGCGTGACTCCGTCTCGTCCAATGGCTCCTGGATGAGACGCCTGTCATTGCGACCGCTCTCACAACACGGTAGCCTTCGCTCCAGCGCTGGCCCTGAAACGCACTCCATTGCCTTCTCCCATGGATCCTCGGCCCCAATTCTGTCGCCATCAGGCACATATCAGACCCCGCTGCCTCCAAACAAGTTAGTGAAGCGCGCTCCTTCTGCTCATCAGAATGGAGCGGGCGATGCGGCGCCGCGCCAAGTCGCACCTCCCGTCCCTCCGCCGCCCCGCCACTAGCCATCAGCGATCGGCAACTTTGCAGCGAAACCAGCTAGACTATGACTCGACCGAGGGTTTGGAGGCCCAGCAATATTCACTCGATCGTTACATGCCAGCGCAAGATGTTTTGTCTCTGTCGCCGGTCGAGCCCTACCCCCCTCCCCGAGCTGCTGAACCATCGCGCTGGACCTCCCTGTTTCATTCGCGAACCATTAACGTACCTGTCAGTAGGACGCCGGACCGGTTACTCGAACCCGGAGCGGCGCCTCTATCCAAACGACTACGTGTCTTTGTTGAGGATAAGAATAACATCTATCTTGTCCGAGCTAGCGTGGTCAGCACTACGCCTGGCAC